TTTACTTTTGCTTTGCTTTGCAAACCTTTTCAGCGAATTCATGCGAATTCTTCTTTAACGGCAACATCGTAAATGCAAAGTTTATGTCCACAGTGATGAATGACACACTCAGCATGTTTAAAAACTCCTTTACTCTCCAGTTGAAGTCGTGACGACGTGAGCTTTAAGAATTCATTAAAATACAAGTTATACATGATTTATAACTGAGGAGCTAAAACCTGCAAACGCACCAATGTGTTCAGCATGATAGGGAGATTTCTGCATCACAAGCTTTGCCAGCAGCTGTTTCTTTCACAAGTGCAGAGGATTTGAAGGCCGCAACACATCGATCAATAAGAGGCCTGATGGTGGAAGCCTTAACAAACAGCAAACTCACTACAAACATGCAGGTTCATGCACACTAAAGCAGCAGCAGCAGCGAGAGAAGAAAGTGACTTAAGGACTGCATGTTTCACACATTACTCCTTTAAATAAAGTAATCATAAAGCTATAACTGTACATTATACGTAACCATCTGCAATGCATTTATTGTATACTTTGCAGATAGCTGTCCCAATATTTCCAGGCTCCACAGATGGCTTTCAAAAGCACATAGCAGGGGTGGAAAACAAACCCCAATCACTGGGTGTTTGCAGGGTGTTTAGGATGGTAACAAAAAATGCACAAATCATAAAATTTAAAAAATGTTCTTTAACCAAAGAAGAAAAGCTCCCCATTTCTATAATTCAAGGTGCATAACTAGACTAGACTTTATTGACTCATAAATGCCAATACTAAAACATGAGGGGAGGCGAGCTTTTAAGGGCAGCTTTTCTGCTTTTATCATGTGCTGTTCGGGACGATACCAGTCATTTCCCACAGCACGTGTCATCACATTGTGATGATGTGTCATTTTGACTTTCATTTAAATAAAAACATTATTGTGCCAATTGAACCCATGTGGGTTCTAGAGATTTATGATCTTTTCTAAAATGTGTAGTAACAGTACGTGGGATTATAGCAGTCATGCAGCGTATGTTGAGGTCTTTTATTCTGAAAGTAACAGGAAGAAGCTCTTTTTAGATATACGTAGAGCAAAGCAGGTTTTGGTACAGATCGGGCAGCGTCATGAATAAAGTGCTCGTCTTAGGTCATTTTAAAAAATAGAATTTGCTGGCTGGAGTAGACACGGTATGATTTATGAAATAATAAATCAGAGGCAGGGATGTTTCTGAAACGTTCTTAGTCATAAAAATAATTCAGGAAGTGCATAGTTAAATCTTTTACCTCACAAAACTTCAGGAGCTTATTTTCCAGCACATGTTCAAATTCTGATCTAGTCCCAACAAACTAAACATGAAGTCCATGATGTTTGTGTGGGACAACATGGGTGATGAGATTAATGCTAAAAAGCAGATTGAAAATTTTTGACATAGCCAATTTAAGAAAATAAACACAGACACTATGCAGCTTGCAGTTTTTTAACTTAATTCCATTTCCCCAACTTTTATGAGCAGAAGTAGAAGCTAAAGTTTGTATTTATGCTGTTATGCGACAGGTATGTCAGCTGCTGGCGTGCCTGGAAATTATCTTTGAGTTCCAGCATCCTTGAGTCAGCACATCTGTTGGTGAGATGTGTTTACGTTTGTGAACCGGAGCCAATAAAAATGTGGGATAGTGCCTCAACATGTGGGGACATGAATAGAAATAATGTGTGGTCCCATTTAAAGTGTGACACCTTAAGACAGAACCTGTGAAGTGGCCTTCAAGCTGTTTCTGAATGCTGAGGAGCACCTGCAGCCAGGCAACACTCCTACAGCTCAGACAAAAACATGTCAACTTTGGTGACGCGGTTCAAACTGTTATAAAGAACACGTGAACACCAAGGACAGGCAGGTACGTGAAAGGAGAACTTTCATGTCATGACTTGTTTTGAGCAGACGCGCATCTCACATGGTGATATGAGCATTTAAAGTTTACCCAGAATGCACTTTTTGAAGTGAATTCTCTGGGGCGTCTCTTCCT